TATTCAGTGGCCAACTGCCTGCCCTCACATACTGCCCTTGATTCCCTCCACCAGCCTTCTGCCTTGTCCCTTGCCCCTCCTCTCCTCTCTTAGCTCACTCCTGAGCATCTTGATGAACCTGAACATGCCCCCTCATGTGGCTGGTCCACCCTCTGAAAAATGGGGATACTTTAGCAACGTTGTGGGCATGAATTCTGATGACATGTGTGGAAACATCTAACATGGGTCATAGCCTCAAAAGCCCACAAAAGACGGGAAGGTTACAGACGTGAGGGAGGCTCACAGGTCAAAGAGGCCCATGTGCCCTTTTGGTTTATCGTTTATCCTTATTTTTGTTGTTTTTTATAGAGTTCGAAGTAAAGGGAATTATAAGGCATTTTCTATTCTATAGTAGTGGGTTACTCACTGGGTTGCTAACCACAAGGTCAGCAGTTCAAAACCACCAGCCGCTCCATGGGAGAAAGATGAGGCTCTCTACTCCCATAAAGAGTGAAAATGCTGAAACCCACAGGGCAGTTCCACCCTGTCCTATCAGGTCACTATGAGTGGGAACCAACTCGATGGCAGTGAGTTTTGAATATGAGAAAAGCGGTTATGATGCATGAGAATAAATGGAAACAGACTCGAGGGGTGAGGAGTAATAGGGAGTGGTGGGGACTGGGGCAAACTGGACTGGGCAGGCTCCATCTAAAAGGGCAGTCCTCAACAGCAGGGGCTATCAGGTGATCTGGAAATAACAACTTGGTTGGTTTATAACTATAAGCATGCTTGCTATCATGAATATTCTTAAAGATACCCTGTGCGTTCTTGTTTCACTTAGCTACATGTCAAGGACAGAAAATATTTATAGTAAAGCCAAATTTAAAATTAAAAATAAAAGGACAGTCCTCTGCTCCAGCTGATTGCTGCCTTGAGGGAACATAGAGTCAACGCCAGCATGCCAGCCCGTTTTATAAGAGAAGCTATAACTCTAAAAGTTTAATGTGAAATCTCCCAATTCTTAAATTCAGGCTCAATTATGTTTTTGAAAACATCATGAAGGCCAAACTAAGCTCATCTCTGGGCCAAAATCAGCTCATGGGCTGCCAGTGTGCAGCCTCTCAGCTAGAGTAGAATGGTGTATATAATATAAATTTGTTTCCTAGCCCCTACAAGTTTTAATGCTGAATTCCAGGGGTGGGAGGCACAGGAGTGGGTTGAAGATGTGATTACACAGGAGGGGATGTGGCCCAGCTGTCTAGTCCCACCCCCATGCCCAGTTCTGTGCCTGAAACATAGTCAACCATGAGGGAAAATGCATGAATGAGCCAGCCGGTTGTGGAGGGGCTCAGTTCCGTGTTTGGTGACAATCAGGACAGACCCAAGGAATTGTCCCACTTTTTTCCTCCACAGCCTTGCGAAGTCGTTCCGGCCGCTCCATCATCAACGGGAACTGGGCGATTGACCGGCCGGGAAAATATGAGGGTGGAGGCACCATGTTCACCTACAAGCGTCCCAATGAGATTTCGAGCACTGCGGGAGAGTCCTTCTTGGCAGAAGGTCCAACCAATGAGATCTTGGATGTCTACGTGAGTTTGGATGCGTCTGGCCTGTCCCCTGGGTTTTGTGCCTGGTTGCTTGTAGGGACCATGCTTAGAAAACATGAGCGACAAACCATGCTCATAAAATCCCGAGAGCCACCAGTGCCTGGTTGCAAGTGCCCTTTAGGTGCTTGGGTGGGTCTTGACCAGTTACGCCAGCCGGTCCCCACCTCACAGCACCGTAAACGCCACCAGATGCTTCATACCCTCGGAGTTTATGGACCCAGTAAAACCAGTTTTACTTGCTGAACCAAATCAGAGGCAAAACATACCCTTTATTTCATGAGGACTGCGTCTCCCCCTGGAAGCACTTTCCCCAAACCCTAATTTGGCCTGTTTTCTTTTTATGACACAAGAAGGCCAGTGCCTAAGCCCAGACGAGGCCGCTCACAGTTCCCAGTCCTCTTTGAACCCTATTAAAGCCAACGAAGGTCGAGAACTTGACCTGGAGCCGCAGCGCCGGAGTGTACGAGGAGCTCCGGGCTTCGGAAAAATAGACCTTTGATTGCTTTGACAGAAACGCAAATATTAAGTTGCCCAAACGTTTAACAGAAATGCTCCTGCTTTTTACAATAAACCGCTAGTAGCCAGTCTTCTTAAAGGATCAGGAAATCAAAGGTGACGAGCGAAAAGCTCAAAATGACTTTTTCTAGGAAAAGCAGGAGCTCGCTCTGCAACATGCACACTGTTACCGTCCCCAGAGCCACGCTAAGCCACATGACACTTGCTGTGTCAGGCTGTGGGGCATATTATTCATTGCATTGTCGTGGCTTTACCCCTAGAGAGCAACACGCTGACTCCTCTTGGGTTTAGGGGCTCCTGGAGTGGAAATTATGAAGGAAGCCCGGTTAGCATTAACTAAATACAGATAGCTATGTGTAGTTTTCTTTTTCTAAGTTTGCCCTGTTGGGTGTTTGGGTCTGGATAGATTTCTGATGGCAGCAGGTGAACACTTGGGTTGTAAAAGGCCCACTGTGGGTGGTCTCGGACATGGCGGCCAACAATAATTTCATAAATAGAATAAGCTCAACGTTGCCAAGTGCAAGAGCTAAGAGGCTGGGGGAGAGGAGGGAGGGTTTCTAGCCTCAGACCAACCAAGTCGCCGGTTATGTGAAAAGAGAATTGGGGACTTAGGGGTAGGCAGCAAGAGCCTGAGGTCACACCCCTGCGTGCCCCAGGAGTGCCCCAACACTGTGGACTGGGTGCTGGTTCCGGGGGTGTAAGCAGCCCAGGTCATGTGCCTTTGGGTCATTTATACGAGATCCGCCCCATTTCACAAGGCAGGGCTTAGGAAGGCAGCATGGCTTTTTGAAGTAATAGCCAGGCCTTTCTTCCAACACCCCTGTGGGCAGACTCAAACCTCCAACCACTAACTGTACCCCCAGAGACTCCTCGCAGCCAGTCGGGAGGCGTTACTGGACTGGGCCAAGCTGAGTGTGTGTTGTTGTGTTGTTGTTCTCGGGCAGTGCTTGGCGACCTGCCGAGCCCTCTGCAGCGTCTTGTTTTTCTCCTCGGTTCCAGAGAGGCGGTGGCCCAGGGACATTTTCTAGCTTCGTCTCTCTTTGGGTCTGGAGGAGGGCAGGGAAGGGCCCAGAGAGCTGACAAGGTGGGGGGCTGTGGACAAGCCATACTGAGTCAGAGTCACAAGTCAGGAGGAGGGTTTTTTTTAGTTAATCGTTTTATTGGGGAGCGCTTACAAATCTTATAACAACCCGTCATTTCAATTGTATCAAGCACACTTGTACATACGTCGCCATCAATATATCCAAAACATTTTCTTTCTACATGACTCCTTGGTATCACCTCCTCTTTTTTTCCCCTCCCTCCCACCCTCGTGAATCCTTGATCAATTATATATGATTGTTATTTCATGTCTTACACTGTCTGTTGTCTCCCTTCACCCACATTTCTGTTATTCATTCCCCTGGGGTGGGGGGCTATGTATCTAACCTTGTGATGGGTTCCCCCTATCTCCCCCTTCCTGAAATCCTCCCCTACCATCCCCCTACCGTCATGATATCACTACTCCCACCACTGTTCCTGAGAGTTTTATGTGTCCTGAATTCCATGTGTCGAGGAGCTCTTATCTGTGCCAATGTGTGTTCTCTGGTCTAGTCAGACTTTTAAGGTAGAACTGGGTCATGGTGGTGTGGGGGGAGGAAGCATTCAGGAACTGGAGGAATGATCAGTGTTTCATCGGTGCTATAGTGCACCCTGGTTGACTTGTATTCAATGTGTGCACTGCCCGGAGGTCATTTATAGATAGTGCCACTATCTATAAATCGTGCCACTGAGATCACCAAAGGTGTCCTGGTGGCACTGGCAGGTAGGTGTTGGACTCATTGACTGCCAGGTCGGAGGTCCAACCCACCTGGAGAAGGATGAGGCTCTCTGCTCCCATGAAGATGCCCAGCCCCCGGCCCGGCACAGGGTGGCCCGGATGGCCATGGAGGGAGCAGGAAAGAGGACTGAGCTGTGCAGCCCGCACGGACATGAACCTCTGTGTCCACAGATGATACACCAGCAGCCTAACCCAGGAGTCCACTACGAGTATGTCATCATGGGGGCCAATGCCATCAGCCCCCAGGTGCCGCCTCACAGGAGACCAGGTAAAGGCCCTTGCCCTACTCCCAAGCCCTCTCTCTCCTGGCGCCTGCCCTCTGTTCCTCAACCAAGAGAGAGCCCACATTTCACGGTCAGGGCCACTTCACCGCGTGTCCGAGCGTCCAGTGGGAAGAGTGTTTGTTCTCCCCGTTTGAGCTCATCACCAAGTGGTGGCTCATTGGGCTGCTAACGGCAAGGTCCACAGTTCGAAACCACAGATGCTCCACAGAGAAAGAAAGGCAGGGCTTTCTGGTTTCGTGAAACGTTAGGGTCTTGGAAAGTCCCAGGGGCATTCCTAACCTGTCCTATGGAGTCCCTATGAGGGGGCATGGTCTCAAAGGCAGGGGTAGGGTAAGGTGACCAGACGTCCCGCTTTGGGAGGGACAGTCCTGATTTTTGGAAAGAATGCACAACAAGATAGGGAATGGTCTATTTGGTCCATATAGACCAAATTTTTCATCAAGAACACCCCACCCCTCCACCCCCGTCAATGGTGTCCCGCTTTAAATTGGGTCACTTTAGGTTAGGGGGTTGGGTTTTTTTTGCAGCTCGGCATTTCGAAATACCTTGTATGAGTCTCGTATGTGCCCCTCTGGTAGCACAATAGTTCAGCGCACAACTGTCGGCATTGGAACCGACCCTGTGGCTCGGTGGAAGAAAGAACGGCCACCAGATTCTGTAGAGGTGCCCCACCAGAGGGCCCGGGGCAGCCCAGCTCCCCCACATGGGCCACGAGGCGTCAGCACTGACTCCACAGCACCCATCCCCCACCCCCCAAAAAATGGAGGCAAGACCACCCAAGGGTGTGTCTCTCTGTTGTGACTGACAGGGGAGGGCGGGACGAAGAACCAAGATAAGAATAAAACACACAGTAGTATCTCAAAAGCTCCAGTCACCTCATATATGTGTGTGTGCACGAATCCAATTGACTGATTTTTCCTTTCAGTTCTCAGAAACCCACTTCTCTGTCACATCCCATTCATATTTGTAGAATAATCTAACCAAGACCACTGGTGGACATGTAAGTCCCTTCCCATGTTTATTATTATAAATAATGCTTCAGCCACTCACAGCAACCCTGTAGGTGGGGGTAGAACTGTGGGTTTCAGAGGCTGTCACTGTTGATAGGAGGAGTAAGTCTCAGGTTTGCTCTCTCAGTGCAGCTGGTGGACTTGACCTTTCAGGTAGCAGCCCAAATTTCCCTTAAAATTGCTTCAGCAGTTCGCAAGGACACCTGCAAGAGGCTATTTCCTTGCACCTTCTGCAAGGGACGGGGGAGTTCAGAGCTTCAAACGTTCTAGTCTCTGTCGCTGTTGTGTCCCCGTGTGGCCTACTGTGAGTGGTGCTGAGCATGCTCAGTAGCTGAGCTGCCTTTCTCCTGCCCACTTCTTCCACCAGAAGGATCATCCTTTCTACTAAATGGGCTTTAAAAGGTTCGAAGACCCTGGAAACTGGTGTCTGTTGATTTTACATACACGTCCTTGTTTGCTGCAGATTGGACCGGTGCCCCGGTCCCCATGGTGAAACACTTCCTCTTTAGAACGCCGTGTCCGATGGTCTTGCTTCTGTGTGGTCCTGTGCTTGCTTCTCCCTAGGAGAGCCCTTCAACGGCCAGCTGCTACCAGAAGGTCAGAGCCAGGCCGAGGGGCAAGAGGAGGAGGAGGAGAAGGACCTGCACCGCGGGGAGGCACCTGAAATATTCACCATGGAATCAGCCCAGACCTTTCCAGTCAGGCAGCCCGATAGGTTTGCCTCCCACCGGCCAGACAACGTGGTGCCCCCAGCTCCACTGCCCCCCCGGAGAAGCCGCGATCACAACTGGAAGCAGCTGGGGACCACAGAATGCTCGGCCACCTGCGGGAAAGGTGAGCTGCTGTGTGGGGCCCTGAGCCTGGCTGGGACTCCCTCCCTTTCGGTGGCCCAATGTTCCTGCCAGCCCACAGCAATCTAGTTTCTATTCCCTCCAGCCTTGGGCTGCTAACCTTAAGGCCAACCATTCCAAACCGCCGAGAGAAGGCTTTCTACTCCCACAAAGAGTTCCAGCCTTTGGGTCCCGATGAGTCGGGATTGGTTCCTTGGCGTGAACCGCTCCAGTCCCTGATGCCGAGTCCAGCGGATAGTCCCAGGCTCAGCCTCGCTGGACCTTCTTCTGACATTTGTCACTTGGGTTCCAGTCCTGAGTCCAGAAACCCCCTGCCTAGGAGCCCTACCTTATTCTGTAAGCACACACTCTCAGCCCACGAACCTCCCATACCCCCGGTGTGGCACAGGCAGTTTGCATGCTGCCACTCACCTACAGGCTGGCTGTGTGAGCGGTCTGCAGAGGAAAGGTGTGGGGGTCCGCTTCTGCTAAGCTTGCAGGCCTGCAAAGCCTGGGGAGCTCGGTTGGGCTGGAGCACGTGAGCTCACATGAGCCACGCTCAGCTCGATGGCTTGGATTGGTTGGTTCGTTGGTTAGTTTTTCTGGGGCCTCTCGAATCAGCATACGGTGGGGGGTTTTGTCCATGGATCA